GGCAGGCTTCCGGGGGTGTCTGGGATGGGACCCCGCCCCTGCTGCAGCTGCTGTGTCGGCAGAGGTCGGTGGAGCCGCTGAGCCTCCACTCCCTCACCTCTAACGGGGGGGGGGGGGGGGGAACGTGACCAGACCTGCTCGCGGGCCCGGGGCTCCCCTGGCCACTGCGGCACGAGGGCAGGGGTACCTCAGGTAGCTGACGCCCCTCAGGCTGCTGCCGTTCACCTCCAGGATGCGGTCCCCCAGGGACAGCCGGCCGTCCGATGCCGCGGGACTGCCCGGGAGCAGGGTCTGGATGTAGAGCCCGGGCGCTCCCAGCGGTGTGTGCTGGGGGAGAGGCAGCGGCCTCAGGGCCCCGTACACCGGGGAAGGCTCCCTCCCGGGGTCTGCAGGGGCAGCACCGGACGCCCCCCCCCCCAAGCCCCTGGTCCCCAGCTTTCCTCTGGTGCTGACCACAAAAGCTGTGGGCCCGTAGAGAGGGAGCATGGAACAGGCGGAGCCCCGGGGGCCACTCACCATGCCGTCGATCAGGCCCATCCCCAGCCCCGAGGGGCCCCGCTCCAGCTCCACCACGAAGACGTAGCAGAAGTCCTCCGTGCTGGAGCTGCAGTTGGACGGGGCCGGAGGGGGCTCGTCCTCGGGACCCACACCGTCTCCTGGGCGGGCAAGAAAAAGGGCCCCTGTCTATGCTGCCAGAGCAGCATACCCCATCCCTGGGAAGCGTGCTCACAGAGCCCCAGCAGGTCCCCGACTACCGTCGGGGAGGGGTGCAGACCCCCTCGGGGCCACTTGTGCCTGCGAGGGGCTATCTCCAGCGCCCCCGTGGCTGCCCTGGGACACAAGTCCCCATCAGGCTGGCCGTTTCCAGGGCCTGAGCAGGGGGCTCTGCTCAGGCTCCCTCTCCCGCCACAGAGCTCTCCTGAGACCCTTCCCTCTGCACCTTCTAAGTGGGGACTCCGTGTCCATCCACCCCATGTCTGAGCCTACCCCCTTCTTGAGCCGGGGTCCCCCTGAGGGTCCTGTGCCTTCTCTCCCCAGGA